TCTCTCTCTATTCATCATCGCTTTATTCATCAATAAAAGCAGTTCTGCATACGTAAAGGTACTGCCTGTACTGCTCTGAGGATCCTCCTGTCTGACTTTGAACATTCCTGGGATCCTTCGCCGTCTGATGGTTAAAAGTGTCAAGCATTTGAGAGGCGAAACTCAAGAAAGCTTTGAAAAAGTGCAAAACAACAAAACATGTGAATGCACCAGTAGTTTTCCCCACATTGTACAAACTGAAGGAATTGAGCCGAATGGGATGTTAGTGAGTGAGAGTTCTCATATTTAGTTTACTCTTCCCTTCTTCATTGACATTGTGGAATGATAACTGGACCTATATTCCTCAATCAACTCTCCATCTGATATTTCTTTTTCTCGATGCTCTTCAACTCGGCAGTCCCCTCTTTACATGCAACCTGCAGCACTTTACTCGAATTTTGAACACATAAACAATGAGTCCATATCTGGCGGCAAAAAGGAGCATCTCCACGATCGAAGTTGCGAGGAAAGCGACTGCGACGTATTCCTGTAATGTTGCTGGTTTAGAGCAACTATCGTTCTCCTATCAACGCTTTTGCATTTTAATTCTACTTCCTTGATACCTTCTTCAACCGCTTGTCCAGACTCTCACACATGCACGTGGGAGCGTCCCTCTTTGTCCCCAGAAGAAGTGTCCCCCAGGAGAACGGTATCCAAATAAATGTGCCAAATCGTGAGCGAAGTAAAAAATGTGACCTGAAACGTCGTTCGCCCAATTTTCGAAACCCTACCTCTTGGATAACGGCTTAATCCAAAGTCATGCTGTTACTTCGAAACCGCCCCGGGACAGCTCTGTTCTTGTTGTTTCTTCTTTCTAGCTTCATATGCCCACACACATGCCACTCTTCATTTCGAGGAGTTACATATCATAAGGCGCTGTAGCCCTTCTGTCTGAGTTTCGTCTTTTTGGGTCTCCTCTACTTCTAGTGCATCCTCTTACATAGATTTCCAAGGCATGAATGTTTTTGGTCACATGGTAGTTCCTCCTCGCGCTTTCCTTTTTCGTGTGTCTATTTTTATTTCTTTTCTGTTTCCTTTTTGCTTTGCTGCTTTTTTGGAACTCTTTTGTTCCCCAAATTTTTGTTTTGTATCATTTCCTTT